CCATTACGTTGTTATGTGGACTTTGCGGCTCCTCCAAACAGGACGCCTTTCCTGCAACGTCATAAATGTTTTTTCGCAGACAGGATTAATCTTTGAATGCAAACAAACGTGTCACATTCATTTCCTTCGCCCTGAAAGACTTGCACAGCCACTGTCTAAGCTTTCTGTTCCCAGAACTAAAGAAATTCTACGACGCATCTTTCAGTCTGCACTATACAAAGAAGAGGCCTGTACTTCAGACATGTAGACCCAGGAACACACATGTGCATAGACGCTGTTCATAAGAGCATGCATAAAGGATATCGAGCTAAACTGTGTACGTGCATGCGCCTTTAGTCAAAGACAGAGCGGCCTCATAACAATAAAAATAGAAAAAAAAGTGATGAGGGAATGCAACAAAAGAGGCGGACTGAAAGACGCAGGTGTAGAAAGCAAATGGAATGAAAATGAAAACACATGCAAGTGATGTGCAGGAGTGGGGAGGTTTGGATTTGTAGATAAAAGAAGGAGGAGAAGAGACAGTGACAGGAGGAGAGACAGGAGAAGGTGTACAAGTCCTTCACTGTGCCCTCATTAGCAACACATGAAAGTGGTTATGCATGCCTAGTGTTAAATGAACATTTGTGTGTTTGTGTGTGTGTGTGTGTGTGTGTGTGTGTGGGAAAGAGAGCCACCAAGTGTGTGTTTGTTGTGTATTAATGTGGTGCCCTTTACTAAATGTCACAGTAATCTCCCATCAGGTCAAAGAGAGCACATCTACTGTTATTCATCAGCGAGCGGCAGAGGGAGGGATGCAGGGACGGATGGGTACATGAAAGGAGAAAAGGATGATAAAGAAGAGGTAGAGGTAGTCGAAGAAAAGGAGGGCGGGGGTGGATGGATGAGTGGACGGAAAGGAGACAGAGGAAAGACAGAGGTAGGGCAGTGAAGGATGATGATGGATGGTTAAACAGAAGAAAAGGGAAAGCGATGCAAAGAGGGTTGTTGTAAAGAATGTAGGAAAGAAGCATAGCTGTTTTAAGAAGAGAGAGAATACGGGAGACACAGATGCTATAATGTGCCTACCGGCAGCTAAACAGGTGATCCCTTTGTCAGTCACCATATTTGTCATCATGTCGCTTTGTGTGGACATTTTTGAATGAAATGTATAAAACATTTTGCTTAATTATAGTGAACATTCAAGAGTAATACGAGTGTTGCAGTTTTTTCTTTTCTTTTAATGTGCCAGATGTGTCACAAAATATTACTTTTTAAAGGGTAGTAAGTCTCTCACCAGGTTCACGCCGCTGACAGTATTTGCTGGTGGGAAGCCGGTGAGGGATCATGTTCTGAAATTGCCATTTGGCTAGTTGGTGAAGGGTTTGGAGGTGATTAGGCTGAATCTGTTTTGCCTTTCTCATAAAACAGCTGGACAGACACGTCTGAAATTGTAGACCAGTTTAATTGGGCAAAATTTTAGCTGTGCCATAGTTAAAGTCCAAATGATGCCAAGAAGAAACCAGGTACATCTTTAAATGTAATGCTGTTCATGACAGAGGCAATACAGAAATGAATAAGGGAATCGAATCATGTTTGATACTGAATTAGTTCTTTATAGGGCCCTTGCATTGTTTCTCATAGCAGGTGTTCCTTTTATTGTGCCACTGTGTAGTTACATACACACCTACAGTTTGTGTAGCCTCTGGGATACATTTAAAAACATTAAAACTTCACCTATAATAAGCATATTCGCTCGTACCATTACAATCACACAACTTTTACATGCAGTTCGTATTCAGATGCAGCTCTTCCAAAAAGGGTTTTGTGCCCAGATGTAGGTGAGTGAAGTGACCTGAAACTGGCTCTTTAAAACCACAGGGCTGTGGTTAAAACACACAGACGATCCTTGAACATTATAGGGTTTAAACTTCTCAGCGGCTATTGAGACATTCGAATAGTGAAACCGTAGAGGCCTGAAACAACGAGCGCTCATTCCTGAGACTCGGCATCAAAACGTTACGAGTCCACTCCTGTAAATGTGCAAATTCCACATGAACTGGGCAGCTTGGTTTAATGAAAGCTGAAAAAAAAAAAAAAAGAAAAGAGGGAAGGAAAACAGTGAAGGAGCTCGCCGTTCTGCAGCTGCCGTCTCAGCAATGACTAATTGAGGTTACCACGGCAATATGGAACTGGGATGCCTGTCTGCTGAACATCATTTTAATCAGATTGGGCTGTTTAACACACACACACGCCTGCAGACACACATGCACAGACATACACACACGCAGACCCACAAACAAGTGAATACATACCATGCATGTACACATATATACATACTGTACGTACACCAACGTGTGCACGAACGCATATACGGACAAAAAAATGCAAACACACAAGATTCACTGTCAATTCACAGACACACACGTACGCAAGCACACACTCGAACGCAGCAAATGTGGTTTAGAAACATTGTAAGTAAATGATAGCAGTGCCTAATTAGATTTAACAGTGTAAGTGGATCTGCACGGTTGTTTCTAATCCAAATATTTTTTTCAGTTTGAGATAAAGTCAATGACCTGTAATTACTTCTGGGTTTGCATTTGAGTCAGTTATATGAAAAAAAGCCAGTTTTTGGTTTTAGGAAGTTCTTCTGGGGGGAAGTTTATTTGAGTGTGTATGTGCTCATTCAGGATTCTGGACTGACAGGAAATTGGCGTCCCTTGTGGCTTTGGGCAAATACAATGAGAGTAAGAGAGAGAAGCAGTTGAAATCTGCTACGGCTGTGTATTTGTTTTTATTGAATTCCATAATGGGCTGTTTTTGCTAATGCACAGGGCCAACACAGACAACTTCAAAGAAGTCAAAACACACACTTAAGCATGAACACGCGCGCAGACACAGATACGCATTCATCAAACACGTGGAAATGCTCCATGGTTAACAATCACAAAAATCTATATTTTCACAGGTGCTGCCGAGGAACATATGAATTCATGTAATTGTGTTTGTGTAGTTTTAATTTGAAGAATCCCTTACAAACATGGAAGCACACTTCAAAACACTAACGAAGTCTAATGTTGGCAAACTCACCTGCAAGGCTGGCAGCTGCTCAGACTTGGAAACACCAAGTCATCTACTGCCATCTGGTGGAGCTTTGGTTTCACGACAGGCTCAGAGTGTATGTGTGTGTGTCAAAGTGAGTGTATGAAGTTCCTTTGCAACAAATCAGTTTGAGAATGTTTTCGGCTGTTTGAGCTGCTCGTTTGATTTTACTGCCCAGACACTTGAACAAATAGACAAAAAGGAATCAAAGGTTTTTAGAATAAAAGCGCAGACACTTCAGAGGAGGAATAAGAACGACTGTTAGGGATGGAGAAGTGATCAGAGCAAGAAAGGGATGAAGAGAGGAATCAAAGAGTAGAGAGACGATAAGGGATGTGAGACGTATGGGCAAAAAAGTAAAGTAAGAGCGGGAATAAGAAGTACAGATAGGAAAGGAAGATGGTGAGGTAGATAACCAATCTTTCAGGCTAGCAGAGCATCATTTTGCTTGGTCGCAGCGGGCCTGTTTGAGAACATTATTAAATTACATGGCTCCTAATGGAAACCATGTACGCATCTGCGTTGGGTCTACAGTGAAGTTCTTATTTTAGAAACCGCAGTACAAGACTGATGTCCAGAAAGACAAAAGATTCTCGCGGTTCTTGATTTTTATTCATCAATCATCCAAATATCAGATGAGCATTTTTAGTTCATAAAGAATTATTAAGATTGAAATTTGTGACCACTTTTGTGGGCCAAGAGCATGTGAGAGAACACAGAGTAAATCATAATCATGTCTGGACTCTTTTTAATAGCTTTTAATATGTTCTAGTGTATGTTGTAACTCGTACCACTCTGCTCTGCTCTCTGGTTTTCTCCTTCTGAGTGGTCAGCAGTTTCTATGAAAGTCGTACTGGCTCACCTCCAGAACTCACAACCCTGCTCCATTGGCTGTTAATGTAACATCACTGTAATCTGAACACTCTATAAACAGCTGTCAGTCAAAGCGGACTCGAGGCTCCTTAGCTACTTAACCAATGAGCGGCTGCAGACAAAGGGATGTATTGTCTTGATGTTTAGCTGTGGGAGTCTGGAGCAGACCACCAGCGGAAAGAGTGGCTTCACTTGTTCTTTTCTGTTTTTGATGTTCGTCGAGAACTTGGGTGAACGGAGGCACAGTCAACTTCACCACCCCACCATCTACCTCTCTTTCCCTCTCCGTCTCTCACTCTTGCTCTCTCTCCTTCGTTCGGCTTTGCCAAACCACTGTCTCTATAGCTGTCTGTCTCCCCTCCAGCAAAAACCACTTAGTGGGGAATCTCAGACACACACATTCGCACACCAACACACACACACACACACACTTTCTTCCCAGGGTCAGACGTGGTGCAAAAGGTCACGATCCTGGTTCACTGCAGACTTCACTTCAGTGGAAACATTTATTTCCTCCAAGAAATATTGGAGCTCTAGTACAAAAAAAGGGGGCTCCTTTCTTTACCACAATGGTTCAAACTGGTTGAGTCTGGCTATTAAATTATATAAATCTAGTTTCGCCTCAAGGCTCAAGCTCATCAAAATAAACAAGTCCATGTGCTGCTGGGGGACCTGTTCTGGGGCTCTACCCCCATGTGAGGAAGCCATGGCCTAGACAAGGGCACATTTAAATCTCTTCCAAAAGAACACGGATGTAATCAGTCTGTTTTATGTCTCCGAGAAGCATTTCAACACAGATTTCTCTAATTTCTTTTTCATTTAGTTTGGTCGATTTGCAAACACAACAAAACACAGAAAGAAAAAAAAAAAGTTTGACAGAGACATGTTCAGAGTCTGTTTTGTGTCTGGCATTTCCAATTTGCTCCGTCATTTTTTTCCCTCCCTCATTCTCCCGTCTCCTGGTATAGAATTCAACAGTCATTTATCGTAACCATGCTGAAAGTCTCTCCTTCTTCCCTTTCTGTTTGTGTGTTTGTTTGTTGTAGTGTTGAGTCGGTGAATGACGGGCTTTTCCACACAGTTGAGCTGTTGATTCAGAACCGCTCGCTGAGCTTGGTGGTGGACAACGGTGCCCCCAAGAGCTTGGGCAAGCTAGCACGCCAGCCGTCCGTCGACCACAACACCCAACTTTACATTGGAGGTACGGACACACACACACAGTGTATGTAGACACATGTACACACAGATGCTGCTTGTGCCGGGTCTTTACTGCCTTTTTGTGGTTGTGATCACATGCTTTCCATGCATGGGTGCATACAAATAAAGGCACCAGCAACATGCTAAATACGCACGCACACTAACACTCACTAGCGAGGGCTGTGGTGAGGAAGTGGAAAACTGTTTTTGTTCAGCTTTTCCTCAAAAAAGGGGGGGTAAGACACGCCTCTAAGAAAAGAGAGCCTTTTTTCTCAAGTACTGGAGAAAAACCTAATGTTATTGTGCAACAGTGTGAGCTGTGATGCTGGAACGTTGCATTTTACTAAAGAACCAACCATGAATAAAACCACGGCCTCCTTTCAATTGACTGTCTTTTGTTCCTCTGTTGCCTTTACTTTCTTCCCATTCTTTTATCTGATCTCTGTTCTGTTCTCAATTCTCTTTCTTCTTAACCTTCTTCTTCCATTTCTTTCTGTCTTGTTCTCCTGTATTTCCCAGGTGTACCATCCCAGGTGGTGGCCTCAGGTCTACGTCCGGGTCCTGAACGTTCCCCTCAGGCTTTTAATGGCTGCATTCACAATGTCCGGATCAACGGCGAAGCTCAAGACCTGAGTTACAGATCCACAGGAGGACGGCCACAAGCGGTTGGAAGCAAGGTAGTAACGTAGTACGCACGTACATACAGTAATATTTACCCAAATTGTACCACAACAGATGTTCTTTAGGCTCTATCAGGAAGCCTTAAACGTTTTACTGAGAAATCTTTAACCTAAATTGGTGTTGTAACTCATCCCAGTTCATTCAGCTATAAGTTTGGCCTGTAAGTTGAGCTGCTAACAGATCAGCACAGACTGTTTAGAAGGAGAAAAAAGACATTCAGCAGGAATATCTAGTCAGAAAAATCATGGTGCAGAATTTTACAAGAGTAATTCTTCTGTTGTGAGTTTAGAGCAGGTTACCAGAGCATTTGTTTTCATGAAGTTAGGGCTCAACAAAGCAATGCCAGCAGTGGCTAAGTACAAATCTTATCTCTCCAATCCGGCACCATATTTACACTGGACTCTTAATGTCGATTAATGCGGCATCAAAACGTTTGTCTGTGTCTTTCCTAACAGTGTGTCACTCCTTTCCTGTTCTGTCAGCAGGCTGATGGCATTCTTGCCGGCTGTCATTCCTGCAGCGTGTGTGCACAGGGTGCCTGCAGAGAGGGAGGGGAGACGGGGGTAACTTGTGATTGTCCTCCAGGACGCAGCGGAGCCCTGTGTGACGAGATGACAGCCACTAACCAGTGTCAGAACAGCAGGTGAATCAACCAGCAGAGACTGAAATGGATACGATATAGATGTTCAAAAACACACATGTATTTACCGTGTCGCTCACACCTCTGTGCTATAGCTGCACATTTACATAGCTAGCAGGTGAATGACACTTTGAACGCTTGACAACTGATTCATTACTGTCTAAGAAGTGCTGCTTGAACAGTCACTATGCCGCAAATTAATGATCAGCAGTTTTGTTAATTTAGTTCAACATGTCAAACAGGTGATGGTTCTAGCCCCTCAAATACTTTTCTTTTTAAATGTACATGGAATAGCTTTTCATTGTGTATTGCTTGATTTAAAAAAATTTAAAAAAGCAAGAACTTTAGAGGTGTCATCTTCAGCAATTAGAATTGTGAAGGCCATTTGCTTCTGTTTTTGACATCTTACCATGTATATCAATTTAATGTTGATTGATTTGTTCATTTTAGGGATGTCCAATATTGGCATAAAAATGTAATATCTGTCAATAACGTTATCGGTATTTTTGCCGGTAATGAAAACCGATAAAATAATGTGGCCGCAGTAACAAACATATATCGTATCGGTTGATATCGGAATTGGAAACTGGAAACTGGAAACTGAGAGTCAATATCGGCATATCGGATATTGGCAGAAAAGCCAATATCGGACATCCCTAGTTAATTTTATTCATTGCAGCCCTAAATTAAATAGATTGATGTGAATGTAAACTAGCATTAAAACAACTGAAGACTATCATCACGGATGCAGTCAAAGAAAAAAAAAGTGTGGATTTAGCCAGATGTCATAACCTTGTGTCTAAGATTGTGGTCATCCACATAAGTTTCCCTGGTTGAGTTTTAGTTCCCAGCTTTTACATGCATTTGTGACGTTTATAATGCCATGAATGTCCCACAAGAGCATGTCTTTTAGTCATTTGTTTCCAAAGCATGCATTTATGCAACCATAAGTAAAGCTACATACCAACCCTAGTGTACTCCACTCTAACCTGTCTTTCCTTTGTCCTTTCTCCTTTTCTTTCTCCAGATGCGTTCACGGTCTCTGCGTGCCAAAGGGTCAGTCTTACAGCTGCCAGTGCAACGAGGGCTATCAGGGTCAGTACTGTGACCGACGGCAGGAGCCTCCAGCCTGCAGGGGGCACCGCTGCGGACGTGGGGAGTGTCGCGTGTCCGAAGACGGAGGGCCGGTCTGCCTCTGTCAGCCAGGATACACCGGACCCACCTGCGACACAGGTAACGTTGGAAGAAATCAAGAGAGATTACTGCATGTATGGATTTGACATATATTCTAAGATGTTCTAATGTGTGTCTCTCGTTCTCCACCAACGTGCAGAGCTCACCTGTCAAGGAGAAATGGTGAGAGAGCAGCTGAGGCGCCACCAAGCCATGAGAACATGCACATCCACCAGCAAGGTCCCCCGCATGGATTGTCCCAGATCCTGCCAGGCTTCAGCGCCCCCTGGTGTCTGCTGCGGCATCACCAAGAGCAGACGGAGAAAGGTGGTTTTCCGTTGCACTGACGGCACCTCGTACTCAGAGGAGATGGAAACCGCTCTGGAATGTGGCTGCTCCAAATGCCCATTGTAACAGTACAGCAGTTTGTCTGTTTGTTTTGCAACACCCACCGCTGCCATTTTGTGAATTCTGCACGTCAACGAGGCTGTCGCTCTCCCACGTTGATGACCACCAGCAATACGTGATTTTTTTTTTTTTTTTTTTTCTTTTTGAAATTTCCACATCTTGTTCGACCGCTGCCAATTTTGCTGCCAAGAGAAACTACATACAAAAACAACAATGGGACATGTGTGCGTGTTTTTTGACAGAGAGAAAATATATTGTAAGATATAAGTGAGAAAAAACATAGAACTTATTTTTATTATGGATTTTGTTTTCTAAAAGATGATAAAAGGACTGATGAATTGTTTTTTAATATGTTGATTATATAATGTGTTACATAGTATAAAAAAAAAGTTATTTTGTACCTTGTAAGAAGAAGAAGTACACAGCAAAATAGATTAACATTCCTTAAAAGTATATGAATTTATATGTATGTATAAATCTATATAAATATTTACCCTAACCCAATGAATTTTATATCTTCTAAGTGTATTTGCATGATGTTAATGTGAGTGTCGACGTGTGGGAGGCTTTGGACACTGAGAGAAGAGAGCTGAGAAAGAGGAGCTCCGTTTCACATTCCACAACAAGGAAAAGGTGGCAGTCTTTTGTTGCCCTCTCTGTTGGAGGCTAAAAGGGAACTGTATGTGCCTAGCTAACCTGCTTCACTATATAATGGACATCATCCTCACATGTGAGTTCACATAAAAGACTCTTTCCACAGAGATGCTTTAACAGTTTGTTAATATTGTGATATTCTCTAGTTTGCTGTTGCACGCCAGACTTGGAGCCACATGACGTTTGACACGAGAACCTGAAAGACATCTGCTATTCATTAGGAGTTTATCATAAATCAGGAACTCCCGTTCAAATAAAGAACAGTGAAAATCATACTGTACATTCAGCATTAGGCTGACTCCGCATCCCTGATGAGCCTTGAGAGCTCATAACATAGGCCCAGGAGAAAATAGGAAGACATCTGTAATCGCACCACCCATTCACATAACTACTTGCTCGGTGTAGCTGGTTGTGATCAGCGGTGTTCCCTGTTTCACCTCTAGCCAACAGTGATGCCGCAGCGTACTGACACATCCTGCAGTACACTCGTACATCACTGGAGCAAGGTGAGGTGTTCAACTACTGGAGAAAAAAACAGCAAATACAACATTTTCAACTGCTTAAGTTGCTCTTTCAGTGGCTGCTCAACAAGATGACTTTCTGACTGGGCAAGAAAGCTGTTTGAATACAGTCACACCAAAGTCGTCTGCATTTGCCTTAATGGATAAGTTGAGTTATACAAGTTCAGTGTGTGCTTTTTTAGAAATTCAAAAGTGATGCTGCAATATAATTATCATTTCAACAGCTGCTACTGACTGATTGGTCATTTCGGATGAGTATATAGTTATTGTTGTGTCACATGTGGCAAGTGACTCCTTGAAAACACAATCCAGATTCTGTGGTGGCCTTCTGTAGTTCCTAAAGGAAACAACGCTCAAATAAAACTCCTATCTCCTCATCAGATTCTGTTTCAAGGCCCTATGAAACACAGTATTGATGCATTCGCTGTGGTATAAGGTTTTCTTTTTAAATGTAGCTCTATCATTTTTGGTGAATCGTGATGTGCATTAAGGTGCAAAGGAAAGGAATCCATGAGGCACGTACTTCAAAACTGTTAAAAGGTGAAGCTTTTGAACGAGTTGGTAATGTTGAAATGTCATTGACAGTGCGGGGTGGAGGGTAAAAAGTGCCTTTCAGTTGTTGACCAAAAGACAAAGTGCTCCAGTCTGATCACAGCAAACCTCCACAGCAACGATTCAGCTGCCACGTATCTTCTGTAACTGTGTCAGAATCCGATTTCAAGCAAGAAACTACAACACAGCTGAAGAAAACTTCAACACCAGCGCAGTTCCTCACTGCCCATAGCTGACTAACACAATTAAAAGTATAGCAAAAGAATATGATGTAACTACTACTGTACTGTTTACTTTATACATTGTTGCTTTGTTTACAACAGATTCAAAGTATTGCCACATGTTTGCAGTTCATTTACAGCTATGTTATCTAGGTTTGCAACATATCAGTGTTATCCTTGTCTGTTAACATTACACTTGTGTTTCTTCTACCTGATCCTTGGCCTCGCTTCTTTTCTACGCACCTTCTCCATCCTGTTCCTGCTTCACTCACGTACTTTTCCTCACGTCATGCCCATGATGTCGCTTCAATTCCTTCCACCCATTCATTTCTCGTTCTAATTCTTTGCCTCTTCCCATTATCACAACACATCAAACCTTTACCTGCTACCCCCCCTTAACTTTCTCTCTTCACACCCTCTTGTCCTCATCCTAAATGGTTTAGTTCTTCATTGTGAGCAGAATAAAACACCTCAGTTATTAGTTATTGACAAAAAAAAATAACTGTAAAGTCAGTCACTTCCATTGTATAGGTCCTAGGTTTGAAAAAAAAAATAAAACATGATTATGTGAGTGATGATAATTGATACTTATGTTGAATGTTAAAATTAAACTACCATTGAAACTGTAATAATCTTCAATGTCTGAGTTCTTGAGAACAAAAGTAATCTTTGATCGTAAATTTTAACTTGAACTACAAATCAACACATTCTGTCACAAAATGTACATTGTTGGTTTTTCTATATTTATATATATATATATATTATGTCGCAAAATACCATTGAAGTAATTTCCAAAGAAACCGCAATTAGGTTATTCCATCCTGAGTCATCAGAGGCCTTTAGATTGACATATCGAGTACTTTTCAGGATAATATTTTAATTTACTTTTTCTTTTCTTTTTTACCCACTTTCAGCAGATTTTTTCACACATTGAAATTCAAGGCCGTATAAAAACCTGACTTTTTTTTTTTTTTTTACCGTTATTTCTCATCATACCATTGATTCAGAATATTACGTTTTATTACATTATTACACATACATTTCATATATTACAAACCATTCTGAAACGCCAGACTGCTGTTCCATTCAGATTAAACTCTCTTCCAATATTTGTGTTTTTTCCGTATAACTTGTTGTACTTGCTAAATCATTTATGAAAGTTAAACAAAAATAACCAAATATTTCACAATAAAACATATTTCACGTTTTGTTTTGTATTACTGTGACATGTAACTACATGTTTTTTTAAATTAAATTACAGATATCTGCAATATATATTAGATATAGCTATTAAACGTTACAGCTTATTCCCAAGGCATAGAGTACTTATTTTGCTCATAATATGCATTCTAGCACATAAAGTCGTCCTCAAATTTATTCATATCCTCCCATTAAAGAAGAAGAAAATTTCAAATTTTGTCAATTTGAAATTGACAAAAGAAATAATAATTTAATAAATAAATAAATAATGAAAATCACGACATTGCTTTTGAATTGTGATTCTACAGAAATATTAAAAACAATCAAACAAACTAGGATGACTGTATGTGAAATAAAATAAAGTAAAATAAAATAAAATAAAATAAAACACCTTATTGTCATGTTAACAAGGTAACACATTTCATTTCGACTAGAGAGGGTCTTTAAAGTTTTAAATACATATTGTAGCCACAAATACTGGTTGTATTTTATTGCTCCTTTGCCAAAACCTCATTGTTGCAGCCATGCTGTCCCGTTTTTATTTTCATCAAAAGAGTGAAACAGCGCCCCTCTGGTATGTAACGTATATAAAACGCCTGCCAATCTGTGTGGTCAGACGTGGTATTGCAACAGGAGTGAGCGCAGCAGTTGATGATTAAGTTTGATTAAAGCAAAGTCAGTGT